GGCAAAAAATAAGAATGTAATGTTCAAAATCAAGAATGAAAAAATGACAAAAAGAAGAATGCAATCATCATTCATTACTTATTTATTTAATCATTAGTTAACAATGAATCATTCGTTACTGAACAACCTAAATATTTTAGGGACGAATTTATTTATCTATTTTTAATTTTGATTTATTTTATTAAGATCATTTAATATTCATCCGGTTAATAGATTTTCATTTTGTCAATAAATGTTTCAATTACGTTGAAAAATTTCAGCTGCAATTTGCTCTTCCCTGTCATTTATTAATTGAAAGGATATTATTGCATCAAATTTTGAATGTTGGAAAATTTTTCTTCATTAAGCATTTAACCAACAGGACATTTAACAAACATTTGTATCTATATTTTTACAGGTTACAAAAATATGCACCATTGAATTTCGGTAAATAATACTCAAAATTTCTTTATTTCTTTTGAACAAACAATTCATTTACCCTGACGGGAAATTTCAACGCTTTTTCAGTTTGGCCGATATATACCCAACGACACGATATATATCAAACTATGCATTCCATAAGAATTAAAAAACACATCGAAGAATCGAAAAACGAATTTTACTAATAGGTGAAAGTGCTTTGACTAGTCAGAGAATCAGCAGGAGCTTTGTAATTTAGTAAGTTTAAATAATTGTTAAGTACGTGTCGGCTTAACGTCGTTGTCGACTAAATGTCCTGTCGATTAAAATGACTTGTCACTTACATGTCCTATAGCTAAATGTCCAGTCGGTTAACTGTCCGTGTCAGTTAAATGTCCTGTAGGCTAAGTGTTCGGGTCGGTTAAATGTCCCCTCGGCTAACTGTCCTTGTCGGCTGAATGTCCTGTCGGCTAACGGTCTGTGTAGGCTAAACGTCCTGTCGGCTAAATATCCTGTCAGCTAATTGTCCGTGTCGGCTAAATAGCCTGTTAGCAATTGTCCATGTCGGCTAAATAACCGTGTCGGGTAAATGACCTTTTGGTTAACAACTGTCGGTTAAGTGTCTTGTTAGCTACGTGGTTGTCGGTTAAGTGTCACGGATCTCGCAGTAACTGGTGTCAGGTTTTTAAATCTCTCTGACTGCCTAAATTCCTGGTACAAGTAAGGATACCAGAATTTCACCATTGGTTCTCCTGACTTAGTCCTACCGCACTAAACATCCAGCTCTATACTAGTTTTAACGGAGAGCATCCAGAGTGACAGTCCGAGGTGCCGTTCTTCTTTTCCTACCACTATACCACTCTAGAGGACTTTCGGCCCGCTGTGTATTTAAACAGCCTCCATGCCGCACAAACACTATGCACATACACTAGCCGCTGTTCTGAACAGACTGGCAATGCCGGTAACCAGAAAGATGGAGGAGCAGCTTAAATTGATTGCCACAAGTTCGATCGAAATGAAAAATATAGTTGATGTAAATGCCGCGGAGATAAAGAAGGAAGCAGCTGAAAATTAGGATGAAATGAAGAACTCCATCGCAACAAATGCGGCTGAATTAAAGATTTTCAGCAAAGCAAATTCCACTGAGATGAGGAAGAAAACATCTGACATGAAGCAGAGTACTTCAGAGGTTAAAGAAGAAATTATGAAAGCTGTGAAGGAGAAAATTACCTCCATACACGAAAAACTTGCGATAGAGATAAACACTGTAAATCAAGAAATCGCCAGCGTCATTAAAGAAATTTCTTCAGCGACAGAGAAACTCGAGAAAGAAATTCTTAGAATAGAAAATAAATTTCTGGAACTCGCTTCATCTTTAAACGGCTTCCAAACTCAGCCTTCCGTTACTGACCCTTCTGCTCATCCCGCTATGAACAACATCCCAGTCCAATTATCTCCTTCAGGAATTAAGCAATTACTATATAATTGAAAGGCATCATGGAACATCATACAATATAAAATTTGATATTATTTCACTGGCAAATCACTGGTACTCCATCACCAAACGTTAAATCTGGCTTCCTGTTTACAAAATGAGGCTACAGATATCTCAAAGACACTTCTAGTCCAGAAACTTTCAGTTATTGAAAGGGAAGTTAATGCCTGAAAATTGCGATTTGGAGAAATATTTCTCAAGTATAATCACCGATTGCAACCTATGACTTAATAACGGAAGGCAGAGGAAACCCTTCAAGAACTAGTGATTGACACTGAAAAATTAACTCAGCTGGCATTTCCAGATTGTTGTCCGATAAGACTGTAAAGAACGCTCCTGAACTCTCTACTAGAAAGATCTATGATGCTCTCGACTAGAGATCACACTACGAGGACTATAATTCATTTTTAATTCATATTTTAAAGAACTGTGAATGGCAACGACTTTACTGATAATTACGCATGCGTAAAGAGATGAGATTTCTGGTCAGACACCTGTCAGGGAGAGAGTGCTGGGAAGCTCCGCCAGCGAGCTGAGGTGTGGAGACTTTGTTCGTCGAGTAATGACGAGTGCCATCTTCGTTAACGTCTCTGATCGTGTCACCAGCTCGGATATCTACTATAGTTTTATAAATGTGTTAATTAAATGTTGTATCTGTGTTATGTTGTGTGAATAAAAGTGATGGATCACCACTACCAGTGTTGATACTGAAGCATCCACGACGTCACAAGACCCTCCTCTAATATTTTCTTGATCCTCCAATATTCTCCAATCTCCCATATTTTGTGGATGCTATTACGGATCCTGAAATACAACAGGCACTCTGAATAGCTTATAAAGATGATCTGAAAAGTGATCTTCTATATGTAATAAAAATGTAGGCTGCACAGAAAGCCATCAGAAGAGATATGTCAACAACATTGAAGGCACAGTGCTAGAAAAGGTAACGAAACTAATAAAACGACTAGAGGCAATGAGAGCATGCAAGACTCAAACAAGCCTTAATAGTAAATAAAGTACCGGAACTGCGGTAGCGAAGAATATTTACGGAAGCAGTGTCCTATGTGTAAAAAATTAACAACTGAAAAACCATAAAAATGAGCAGAAATTACTGAAAGCAGAATTTCAGCTCTCAATGCTCTACAGATATTGTCAATTCACAATCGGACGCGATCTTTACTGAAGGAGAAATAAATATATCTTCTTGTCACTTGGCTGTAGATAGCGGTACTGATGTAACTATACTGAGATCTGGTCTCTTAAGCTGCGTTCAGACGGGGCGTAAAGGGCATAAGTCAAGTTAGTATCAAGTGAAGTTTTTGATAATCACCTTCCAGTTATAGTTGTAAAAGCTAACGAATAATCTCAATTAAATAACCTTCTATCACTTACTTATCTTCCGTTAAAGAACCATAAGAAATATTCTTAAAATAATTTTTAGCAGTGCGGTTTCAATTCATATTCTTGAAATAATTTTTAGCAGTGCGGTTTCAATTCATATTCTTGAAATAATTTTTAGCAGTGCGGTTTCAATTCATTTAACATACGTTTTGAAAACTTTTGCCGTCAAAATGTCACGCTAGCATTTTATTTCAAAAATGAAAAATTCCAGATTTTCCTTCTTAAATTATTACTTGAATTTTTAATATTCTGTCGTACTGACACTTCTGAAAGGTGGTATCACACATTCAAAACAGTTTGGAGGAACAAACTTCAGAACAATTTTTCTGCTTCTATATGAAACAGCCAATCATCGCTGATCGTTTTGGGGTTACTATGTGAAGGGAAAACTAGATTTCCGATACAAATGATAGTTGATGAAGATGACTGGTTGTTGAAAACGAACAACTTACAATTTTTTGCGAACAAAATTAAGAAACCCTGCTTCTCTCTTTCAGTAGTAAAGTAGGTAGAAAAATTGTTTGAAACAACTGTTCATCTGAAATAAATGGATGCGTGATACCAGCTTAAGCGTTTGTTGACACATGTAAGGAATTACCGCATCCCCCTCTGTTTGCCTTTATGGTGTAAGTGATTAGCACGTCCACCTCGCATTTGGAAGATCAGAAGTTTAAATACCGATGAGGCATAGTCAGTTTTTCAGGTTTCCAGCTGTGAAAAATTCTAATGGTGTCTCTCTACAGTGGTCATAGAATTAAAGTATTATGAACGATTGTTTTTCACCACTAAGATTCGGTCAAATGGACCTTTACTAAGCCGCCTTTTGTATGGAAAAGAATGTAAAAATTATTGCCATGAATTATTTTTGCCATGCATGTCCTCCTAATGTAATTGGTAACAAACACCGATGAAAACTGAAGGATTCATGGTTCGTGCCCTGGAAGGCACAATTCATTCTTCGTATTTCCGAATCCGAAATGTCTGATAGTCTATAAGCATGTTATAGTGGTATGATTAATGAAACTACATATATTTTAAGTTTTATTCATACATTTATTGGAAAAATTTCGCAAAAAAAAGGATTGTTACTAAAATGAAAAGCTAATATCGTTGGAATTTTGCGTTATTAAGCTTTAATTTATAATGCTAAATTAATGACCATATTCATTTTTTATTCTAATTGTCAAATTATTTTTCTACTTTTAGTTCATTAATTTTTTTATGAATTTTAAATAAAAGTTTATTATATAAAAACCTCTTTTTAAACTTTTATTTTCACATCTTTTAGTCAATGACACCTTATCAATCAAATTATTCAACTAAAAAAATTATTTTTTAACAATGAATAAACGTTTTTTTAACTTTCATAGGATCTTTTACTTTCAAACGGCTGAAATTTTCCAGCGATTTTGCCCAAAAATAAGAAATTACATAAAATTTTCATAACAAATTCATTCAAAAGTTTTTTTCCAGCTTCATCCAATGGTGCAAACGGCAAAATTTTGAGAATTTTTGTTTGTTTGTTAAACGCAGAAATGTACCTAACCGTTCCAACATTAAATTTTAAAAGACTGTAAACCGAACTTTAAAAGAAATCGCTACGCGATATTTTCATAAAATATCAAAAAATATCTAAAAACTTGCCGAATTAATATTTTTTGTTATCTGTCTATAAAGGAGGGACGAAAAGAAGTAAAATTCATACCCCACCCGTGTGCGAGTGATTCAGACGCTGAATACCAGACGTTTGAGCTATTTTCAATCCCAAGCAAACGAGTTGACTGCATGGTTGTTTTCCTCATGTGTAACGTGAACCAAGCCATCTGTAGAAAGTATTCCACGAAGACATTCCTTTCCTTATGCAAATAGCCCTTGTGTGCTTTCTCATATTCCCTCTGAAATCTAGAATCCTTTAAAAAGTTTGTTTTCTGTGCAAGGCCGGAACAACAGAGAGGCCAAGAAAGCATCTATCTGAGAATAATTAGGAGGAGATCCGAATTATATATCGAATACTATTATTAACATTAATGAAAATGAAATAATTTATAATAATGAAGACATATCTGTTGCTAAAGCTATTCGAATAAAATAATACAACAAACTTTTCGAATAACAATAAAAGCTATTCGAATATGAATTTTACTTATTTTTGCTGCAGACATTTAGCAAACTTTTGTAATGTATAACATTTTAGGCCTATTTGCGAGGATTTTAAAAAAATGGGTTGAGAGGGATTTCATATTTTAAGAAAGCTGGTAAGCTAATAAGCTTAAATTACCAGCTGTTAATTTTATCAACAATAAATCAATGACATTAATTCATTCTTAAAAGTATTTGCGGTTCGTTTTTGATGATAGACAGTGTTTTGTCGCAATACTACAGTGTGTAAAACCATTTAGTTCCATTATGGTTATTATTTAGTTCCATAATATTTAAATAATCAGACATTAATTTTATATTCAACTCTTATTTTCTTAAGTATGTAAATGATTCTATACTATAAAAGTCTGTGCGCCTCTCTCTGTTTGTTTGTTTGTTTGTTTGTTTGTAACATCACCTCTTCCGGAAGGACGGGGAATTGAGTTTCGAGAGAAATACCCCCGGATTCTAAAAATTCGTGGAAAGACATTTCGACCATTCTTATCTTTGTACGGCTTTAATCAGCCGAGATATTAATTAAAAAGTCTGAAAACGCTAATTTTGGCACTCAATTTTCCGAATGGCAACAGTCTTGCTGGAGATATAAGAAAGAATTAGGCTGGAAATGAAACTGCTGTATTTCGAAAAGTGTTGCCACTCTTCGCTTTGAAATCGTACAGTTCATTAATCAAAAATTTGTAAGTTTTACAAAGTATGGAATAAAAGTACCATTGCCAAACATTAAACGTATTATCATATAAGGTAATAACTGACTTTGAAGAAAGCACGCGATTGCATGTGATGTCGAAAATTCTTCGTTAATGTCTGCATTTTAAATGAATAGCTGCTGTTGGAAATTTTTCTGTTTCAGGTTAGAATAACTGACACGATATGTTATTGCCACATTAATTCTTTTATCGATATCGAGAAAAAGTTGTTATACTACTACATTAAATTTAAATCACGACGTCATATGTATTAACTTGAAGTGTCAAAAGATTTTGTTGCCTGGTTTGGCAACAAAAAATTAGTTACGAATTGGTTGTTGCTTGGGAAGAATGAACTGATTTCATTCACACTGAAATGTTTTCATACACTTTCTTTTCAGATGTACATAGAAGTTATAAATTTGCTTTGGTCGCAGTCCGCTTATCATTATTAAACAGCGTGCAGGCGATTATTCTTTGTTGATGAACGTAATATACGGCGCTAGAATTTGTTTTTAAGAAGTAGTAGTACAAATGTTCACCAAAAAAAATTAGGTAAGTATATTATATATCATGTGAATAAGATGTTCTATAAATTGCATCAATTAAAGTTGAAGATAGAAAAATAAAATAATTGCGTTCATTATTAGGAGTAATTATATTGTTTTTAAAATATTTTTAATGAAGCAAATTAATGCTTTATTTTAAAAGATGAATGTATGATTGTATAGAACATTAAAGGACAAAAGGAAAGTCTGACTTATATGCAGATATTTTTAACGATAAGAATTGTTATCATTATTACGTGTGTTATATATTTATTTAAATAATAAATATGTTATATAATAATATAGGTCCATAAACATGCAAATAATAAAAGAAATTGTGTTTGATTATTTTAATATTAGAAATGATTTATGATTTAAACTATTCAGTCTTTATTAATTAATTACACTACATTATTTATATTAACTAATATCACAGAAGCAAAAAATTAATATTAATTAATAATAACTAAAATGCAAAAATTTAGTAATTTTTAACTAACTAAAAGCATTTAATTAGTTAAAAAATTAATTCAAAGCATTCATAAATTTAGCATCATCTATATGGAGTCAAATTTTATTTAGTAAATAAAAATTTAGGTATTTTTAATATTAAATTATACTGAATGTGCATCAAACAAATAAAATATTATTACATTTATTGATAGCCTACAAAATGCATAATAGTGTTAAGGATTTTTGTATTTAGTTGGCTGTTTTTAATAGAATTGTAATTAAAATTGTTTTGTTTCCCGTGCAATGCAGCGTGGGACGAAAGAGAAAGCTACGCCGTAAAAGTAAAAATACAGGAGCACGCGCATTTAACTTTTAATAAATAGATATCTCGTAATTTATATTTAAACTTAATAAATGTAATTGACTACAATGTTAACTGTAACCATAATTCTACTTTTTTTTCTTTCCAGAAATTGCTAGAACTCTCTTGTGTGTCTGAATTAAAAAGCTATAAAAGCCAGAGAGAGAACATCTCACCCCAGTTGTTTATTAGTTGTTGTTTACTTAGCTGCGGTAAATTTTGTTGAACGGATTAGCTTTCTCTGCGCTTTGGATTGTGTTCTGTTTAACGTTTTAGTAGTTTAAAATATAGCTAATGATATTGTGTGGTATTGTACGAATATCTTTGAGGAAAAATTTATCGTTTCGTTATATTTCTTGTGATAAGAATAAATTTTATTATCTTTTTATTGGACTTTTGCATAATTTAGTCCGCGCGTTTTAAATGAGGTATGGGAGATACCTCACATAATTATTTATTTAATAAAAGAAGTTAATAAAAGCGTAGCGTGGACTCTGGATAAAAGAAGGAAAAATTCTTCCAATCGTAGAAACAAATTAATAGATTTAATACAAAGGTTAATTAATAAGGTAAATTAATTTACAGCTCTTTATATTTCATTATAATTTCATTTCATTATAATTCATATAATAGATACATATAATATCTTTTTTTATTTCATTATGTTTAATTTTTGTTTTTATTTGACAATATAAAAAATGCCCACCTCTAAAAAAATCCTTAAATATTCATTAACAATACAGTCTCTACATAATTTACCTTTGTATTTGCTACTGGAGCTCCGACGTTTCGATATTTGGCTACAGAATTGGGAGTTCAGTTCAAAATGTTAATTTAAACTTCAATTTGTAAGTAAAAAATGGTGGAAATCTCTGTTGGGTAATGTTTCAGTTAGTTTATCCTAATTTATGATGGCGCAATTCATAATTCGAATTTTGAATCCTGCTCATTTTCTGGGCTCATAATATACATTAAACGTGAGAAGTACAGCGCATTAAAGCAAAGACGATAAGAAAAAGGTTTATTGCCATTCGGGTGTATTATTATTATTATTTTTATTTAAACTGTCTGTTATTGAATTAATAACCTAAGCGATTTATAAGCAATAAGTGCAGTTCTTCATCATTTTTATTATAGATTACCATCAGGATCTGTGAAATTAAACTACATTGGTTATCATTAATTAACGAAAAAATCACAGAAATGACGATTACTCAAAAGGTTCAATATAAAATTTAATGAAACTCACTGACAAGGCATAAAATAACATAAAAAGACGTAAGGTATAAAATAACATAAAAAGAAATTAGCAGACAATTATGGTGTTACTGAAATCAGCATGTGTATAAAATGAACACAATTGGGATGTGTCAGTTTGGTATAGGAAAATTACCTTCAGTATGCAGTATTATCTCCCCTAGAAGCAATATAGCACAGCAGTGTGGGATGCTGTCAATTATGCAGTCTATTGGTTCCGTAGAAAGTGCTCTTGCAAAGCAGTTGCAAGCGTGGCAAGGGTCTGAAGAGAAGGATTGAGAACAGCTATGTGTCTGCCTGAAGCACCCAAAAGATGCTCGATTGGATTCAGATCAGGTGATAGAGCTAGCCATTTCATGCTCAGAACTGTTTGTTACTGAAGATAATCCGATCCCTCTGCGGTTTAGCGTTGTCGTCCTGCACCAGAAAATCATCACCTATTACCCCGGCATAAGGCCGAACATAAGCATCAAGGACGTCATCTTTATAGGTTTGAACATTCATGGTTCCACGTGGAAAGACATGGATGTTTATGTGTCTACCCAAAGAGATACCATCTCAAACACAGACACTGTCTCCTCCGTATGCATCTCTTTTACGGATGTTTGATGGACGATAACGGGTTCTCTTCAAATCAAATAATGCCAGCTATCGCTGTGGGGACTAAACCTGGACTCATCCGTAAAGAGAGCAGCCCTCCATTGATCAGTCGTGCAGTGGGCATGTTGATGTGCCCACTTCAAACGGTCCCTTCTATGATGTGACTTGACCGGCACGCAAATGGCTGGTCGCCTGAGTACAGACCTCCTTCGTGAAGCCTTCTACGCACGGCTGACGTTGACACCAGCATTATGTTTGTTGCAGCAAGAGAGGAACTAAGTTGAGTCGGAGATGCGGTTGTATTTCTTCATGAGCATAACAACAAATGTCGGTCATCCGGCTCGTCGTAGCTGTAAACCGTTCTTAGCTGAACATCCTGGATGTCAAATCTATGAATAGAAGTTCTTAGCTGAACATCCTGGATGTCAAATCTATGAATAGAAGTTCTTAGCTGAACATCCTGGATGTCAAATCTATGAATAGAAACTGTTGCCAAAGTCTATAAATCACAGAAGGTCTCACATTTAGCCATCTGGCTACTTCTGTCTGACTTTGTCCTGCCTCTATTCTCCCAATATCTTTCCATTGCAATTCTTCGGGCAAATGATGCCTGCAGTTCATTGCTATGAATTGGCTATCTCAGATTTCTTATCTCAGTATCAGAGCAATAGTTGCCGCCTTGGTCTCAAGCACGCAATTTTATGCTCCTTGCAAATGACATTTAACGATTACTGCACTACTAATTTGCATATTGCACTTTTACTCAGCAACTCTTATTTGACAACATGTAGACATATTAGGTATTTTATTTTGAAAGCAAGAGAAATAAAAAATAACCAATGTCCTCGCCGGAACTCGAACCTCGGACCTCTCAAATACGCGCCGAATAGGCTGACCTTTAGACCA